AAGAGCTGTCGGAGAGCTCCAGTGGCCAGCGGGGCGAGGGCCCGGGCGCAGAGGCCAGCCAGGGCCGCCACCGACCCTGTGAGAGCCAGCACCAGATGCGGACCAACGTCATCCGGGAGATCATGGACACCGAGCGTGTGTACATCAAGCACCTCAGGGACATATGTGAGGTGGGAGCCAGCCCGTGGGCTCCCCACGCCCCCAGCCCCGTGGGACCCTCCTCTTTCCTCCGCCCTCTGCACAGATTCATGGGCACCTGCCATCCGAGTGGCTGTGGCTGACCTGCCTGTTGGTGTGGCCCATTCTTTCTTTCTTCTTCTGCTTCTTTTTAGAGACAGGGTCTCGCTCTGTTGCCCAGGCTGTAGGGCAGTGGCGTGATCATAGCTCACAGCAGCCTCGAACTCCTGGGTTCAAGCGATCCTCCTGCCTCAGTCTCCCAAGTAGCTGAGACTATAGGCAAGCGCCACCACACCCGGCAAATGTTTGCTACTTTTCTACTTTTAGAGACGGGGTCTTGCTATGTTGCTCAGGCTACCCTTGAACTCTTGGCCTCAAGCAGTCCTCCAGCCTCAGCCTCCCAAGAAGCTGGGACTATAGGCACATGCCATTGCATACATTTAATTTATGTATTAGAGATGGAATCTCACTATGTTGCCCAGGCTGGTCTCGAATGCCTGACCCCCCAAAGCACTGTCATTACAGGTAAGAACCACCATGCCAACCCAATTCTCTTTTAGGGAAACTGCAACACTGTCTTTCAGGATTTGCCTCTTGAGATTATTCAAAGTAAATGACTTCCCCAGAGGGCAAGACCCTCACTTACAAGGAATCAAAGGTTTGTTACTATCTGCAATCCCAGGGCATCTAATTCCTGACTCACAGATGAGACTCTGAGTCATTTGGACACAGACGGGGGAAAAAAATGAGTATCTCCTGGTGATAGCCAAGCCTGTATTCCCTGGGGTCATGATACTCAGCGATAAGTTTTATTTTCTGGTGTTGTCCCAGTTTCAGAGAGCTCACCGCTAGTAGGTATGTATCTGATAGGGGGGTTTTTCTTCCCGTGGTATTTTGCATTTATGAATTTTTTTTATGAGCGTCACCCTAAGCTGCCACTGGCCTGGCCGGATCATTCCAGCGCTCCCAGCTGAGGGTGCTGATGCAGCACTGTCTGTTCCATGGTGACCATTCAGCCCTGAAGACAGGCAGAAGCCAGAGGACAGCCCACTCTGTTGTGGAATGAGCCAGCCCCTGGGACACCAGGGTGCGGCGTCTTTGTGCCCCTGCCGTCTTGTTCTGCATCCACGTGCGGTGAAGGAAGTGTCTTAAAAGTGGCATTTTGGGAAAATAAGAGGCACACTCTGGCACCAACTCCATGCCACCCCTTCCCTAGATGAACTCAGCTACAGCACTCTCGCTGCACAGATCCTGTTAGCCCCCATTTCAGAAGAGGAAACAAAGGCACAGAGAAGTTGAGTGGTGGGGTTGGGGTTGCCACCCAGACAGTCTGAAAAATGAGCAGAATTTTCTGTTAAAATTCATACCAAGCTGGGCGCGTTGGCTCACGCCTCTCATCCCAGCACTTTGGGAGGCAGAGGCGAGAGGATTACCTGGGCCTAGGGGTTCGAGACCAGCCTGGACGACTTGGTGAGAACTCATCTCTATAATAAATAAAAAAATTAGCCAGGTGTGCTAGTACACACCTATAATTCCAACTACTTGGGAGACTGAGGCGGGAGGATCACCTGAGCCTAGTAGGTCGCAGCTGCCATGGCCGTAAGCATGGCACTGCCCTCCAACCTGGGCGATAGAGTAAGACACCCACTCAAAACAAAACAAAAATCATACCAAATGGCCAGTGGTGTGCATTTCAACCATGTGGTCAGTTTCGTCTGTTCAATGGCATGATGCTGTTTCAGAGGAAACAATCACATATCTAAAACTTCCATGTGTAACATATACATTACTCCCATGTAACTATAGGCAATTACTATAGTGTGGACAGCCCCTTCCCCACTAATGCAACCCAGGTCGTAGTCTAACCACGGTGCTGTGCAAGGGGAGTTCATTAGTGCCCAGAGACCCTCAGATTTGCTGTCTGTATAAGGTGGGTGTAGAGGGGTCCACGGGGAGAGGTTCTGGGCCTGTGCCTGTCGGACAGTGCTCGGAGCGCATTCTCTCTCGGGTAAGTGATGACATCCCGCATTCGACAAGTCTTCTCGGCTGTGAAATGGAATTAGCAATGGGTGAACGGGTCTCTCGGGGGTTTGGGGAAGACGTGGGACCACACCCGCTCTCGCTGGCATTTGGCACTGGCGTTTGGCCTCTGCCTCTGGAAGCGTTGCGTGGGGTCTTGGATTCTAAACCCAGCCACACAAACCCTCATGCTGCCCTTCCTTTTACAAAATGTCGTTGGCAAGTCGTAGTCACAGGAGTGCGGTTGGTTCATCGTGGACCCACGGAGGTTGAGGCAACTTTTCCGGGTTAAAATGCGCTCCAAGATTCTGCCTCTGGGCCCGAAGGCCTGTGTCGTTTGAGTCAGCCGTCTCCTCGAGTTTCCGGACGGAGGAGAAAGCTGGCTCTCCTTCCTAGGGCTACATCCGCCAGTGCCGCAAGCACACGGGCATGTTCTCCGTCGCGCAGCTGGCCACCATCTTCGGAAACATCGAAGACATCTACAGATTCCAGAGGACGTTTCTGAAAGACCTGGAGAGACGGTACAACAAGGAGGAACCGCACCTGAGCGAGATCGGCTCCTGCTTTCTCCAGCACGTAAGTCCGCCGCTCTTCGATTGCAGGGGCCAGGGGTGTCTTTTGCTTTGCGAGTATCTCTTGCCCCCGCCGGGCCACTCGGAGGTCAGGCTGCCTCTGGTGAGGGCGGCCAGCAAAGGCCTGCGGGCTGGACGGGTCCGGGGTGCCAGGTCCTGGGTAGCCTCTCCCGACCCCCTGAGCCTGGCTGGGGCATGGGCAGCCCCCCCGTCCTGCGGTGGTCCCGGGCGTTGCCTGGAGAGGCCCGCGGGCGGCCTGGCCTGGCGCTGACCGCCACCCCGCTCTCCCCAGCAAGAGGGCTTTGCCATCTACTCTGAGTACTGCAACAACCACCCGGGCGCCTGCCTGGAGCTGGCGGGCCTCATGAAGCAGGGCCGCTACCGCCACTTCTTCGAGGCCTGCCGTCTGCTGCAGCAGATGATTGACATTGCCATCGACGGCTTCTTGCTCACGCCTGTGCAGAAGATCTGCAAGTACCCGCTGCAGCTGGCTGAGCTGCTCAAGTACACCACGCAGGAACACGGGTGAGGGCTAGTGCGAGGTGGGACCCACAGGGAGGAGATGGGGAGGGGGAATGGGAAGGGAGCGCGGCAGAGGGCATAGGGGAGGGGACACAGGGGAGGGAGACAGATGGGGCAGTGGGGGGTACAGGGAGAGAGGAAGGTGGGAGCATAGCATTGGGGAGGGAGGGCAGGGGGAACAAAAGAGGGAGGGGGGAGAGGGTGCAGGTAGAGGGAAGGGAGGGGAGGGTGAGAGACAGGTGCAGGCACAGGGGATGGGCAGTACTCTTACCCCTCAGGCAGCTCTAACTCTATAGGTAAAGAGTCCCTGGCAGCGACAGGGGAACTTACTGTCAGCTTTCGCCCTTTCAGTGGGCTTTGCAGGAGAAGGTTCCAACTGTTTAGAGCAAGCACAGCGGACTCCTGACCTTGGCTATGCAGCGGCTGCAAAATGCCCGCTCCTAGGGACGGGAAGCCCAGGGTGCTTCTCAAGCCGGGTCCTGGTGCCGGGGTCTGTGGCTGTGCCGCTGTTCCTTATGGTCTCGTGTATTTTATAAATAGCTCTTGTGGCTACTCAGTGGTGACTAAAGACCTCTTGAATGAGTGAGGCCAGCGAGTGCAGGGGGATAGCCTCCCCTCCTGCTCTCCTCAGCTGCAAGATTTAGGGTAGAAAGTGACTTTATGGTAACTTATATAAAGTTACTCATAGCTGGGCATGATGATTCATGCCTGTAATCCTAACACTTTGGGAGGCTGAGGCGGGAGGATCGCTTGAGGCCAGGAGTTCAAGACCAGCCTGGGCAACATAGTAAGAACCGCCATCTCTTAAAAAAAAAACTTCTCAGATTCCTGGGCCCCACACAAGATTTTCTGAACTAGAATCTCTAGGGGTATGGTCTGGGCCTCTAAAAATAATTTTTTTTTTTTTTTGAGTTGGAGTCTCACTCTGTTGCCCAGGCTGGAGTGCAGGGGCATGCTCACGGCCACCGCAGCCTGGACCTGCTGGGCTCAGGTGATCCTTCCACCTCAGCCTTCCAAGGAGCTGGAACTACAGGCATGCGCCACCACACCCAGCTAATATTTTTATTAGAGAGGAGGTTTCACCATTTTTCTCTCTTTAAAGGACATTTTTCACTCAGCATTTGCAGATATTGGCTATTAAAAAAAAAAGTAAAAAGGAAATGACCAGAAGCCCATTTTCTTGTCTTAAGTAAAACAAAGCAAAAATTCTCCAAAGCCATGACATTCTGCCTCTTTTCTGGAATTGTCCAAAAGATCTTATTTTGCAACATGGCTTCATTGCTGGAGGCCCCGTGGGGTTCTGTGCCCGTGTTGGCGGCCCCCTTGGGTCATTTTCGTCCCTGCTGTCTCCCCTGTTCTGAGTGTGATGAGGCCTGTCTGAAGATGCAGAGTCAGCTTGGGCGATGCCAGGGACTTCCAGGAGCCGAGTGTCCTTGTGTTTGGTAAACAGACAATAGAATCTGCTTCCAAGGCATTTTTCCCGACTGGGCAGGATCTTCAGATTCATTCCAGCTGAGCTGCAGTCTCTGCTGTCCTGCGAGTGGCCACAGGACAAAGAGATATGGCCCATTAGCGGACATTTGGGCTACACGTGCCCAGTCTTTCACGCAGAGCAAAACCCGAATGTGGACCGGGCAGGGGCTTGGCACTCTGCTCCAGCCTGTGTATGGACCACAGCAGGGTCTGTCTGCACGGTGCCTACAGTTTTAGGGGGCGTGGGGACAGGGCCTGCTGGGGAGGACGTTTCAGCTTGGTGTATCTAGTGTATGGAAAGCAACCAGAAATGAGACCTTTGGGGGAAGCAGATGCCACAACAGCATCTTCATAATTCACCCCTCCGTATTCCTGTCCTCTCTGTCCTTTTGTCTTTTGTTTCTTTGTTTTGAGTTGGGGTCTCACTCTGTCACCCAGGCTGGAGTGCAGTGGCACGCTCATGGCCACTGCAGCCTCTTCCTGCTGGGCTCAAGCACTCCTTCCGCCTCAGCCCTCCAAGTAGCTGGAACCACAGGTGTGAGCCACCACACCCAGCTAATTTTATGATTCATTGTAGAGACAAGGTCTGCCATGTTGCTCAGGCTGGTCTCGAATCCCTGAGCCCAGGCAATCCTCTCTCCTCCGCTTCCCAAAGTGCTGGGATTACAGGCATGAGCCATCACACCAGGCATCTCTGTCCTTTCTTGAACTGCATTAAAAAATGATGTGCAGACCAAATAATTAGAGAATGGCTAGTGATTTTTGAACTACTTGATAAAGCAAAACTGGTTATATCGGACCAAAGTCATGGTAAAAGCTGTTCTTTCCGTGTTAGTGAAAATGACCATTGCTACCGTAACTAAAACTCATTTCCTATGGCATTTACTTTCATTCATTGTGATTTCTGGGAAATGAATGAAAACATTCTTATTCCAGAGAATTCTGAGTTGCATTAGGTCAGCCCCATAACCTACGCAGACTGTGGGCTATTCATCGGGACTGAGAAAGAGGGAACAATGGCTGATATTTAAATGTCACATCACCCAGACTCTCCTGTAGAAATCAGCGACTGGGGCTTGCTGTCCGTTCCCTGGTTGACACTAACCTCCCCTCTTGCAGCGATTACAACAACATAAAGGCGGCCTACGAGGCCATGAAGCACGTGGCCTGCCTCATCAACGAGCGCAAGCGCAAGCTGGAGAGCATAGACAAGATCGCGTGCTGGCAGGTGTCCATTGTGGGCTGGGAGGTGAGTGAGAGGCCACGTGATCTATGCCACGCCTCCCCCATACCCTCTGTCATCTCTGCCCTCCTGCAGTGCCCCATGGGATCTGATGGCACGCCCCCTGCACTCCCCACGTGGTCTGAGGCCACGTTCCCTGAGCCCTCCCACTCGATCTGCCACCACAGCCTCCAGCACGCCCCACATGATCTGAGCCCACGCCCCCGGTGCGCCCTGTAAGACCTGGAGCCACGCTTCCTGGCACGCCCCCCGCGAGGCCACGCCCCCTGCATCCTCCCACACAGTCTGATGGCACGCCCAACATGGTCTCAGGCCATGCCCTCCTGCACATCCCTCATGACCTGACACCACGTCTCCCTGCACACCCACTTGATCTGACGCCATGCACCCTTGCATACCCCACGCTATCTGGAGCTGTGCCCCCTGCACGTCCTACGTGATCTGACCCCATGCCTTCTGGCATGCCCCTGCTTGATGTGATATCAGCCCTGCCGCAGCCCCACACGATCTCATGCCACACCCGCTGCACACTCTGCATGACCTGATGCCACGCCCTCCTGCCTGTCCTCCTGCACCCCCCGATCCAACTCCACATCCTCTTGACCCCTACATGACACAGCATCAAGCCTTCCCTCCTGCACTCCCACCTTTACCCATCCCACTACCCTCCTACCCCTTTGCCCTGGCGTTGACATACCGGAGTCGCCTGTGGTTGGTCCCCTGGCATACAAACTGTATGCTTGGCTTCCCTGGCATACAAACTGTCAACAGTAGAGGGATTTGGAGGCATCTTGCTGGATCCACCACTTTACACCCCACACCCACGAAGAAGTAAAATCTGCAGAGCATCTGTGGGTCTGCTTGTCCGCCAAGCCTCTGTCTCCCCGCGGAGAGCGAGCTTCGTGGGGACAACCAGAGGAACTTAAGATGCCGTCACTAGCACAGCTAGGCGCATGGAACTCCGGGGCCCCTGCCCATGTGGAATCCTATGTTGGAATCTGGGCAAGATGTATGTTTACAAGTTGGAGAGGGAACTGTTACTTCATAGGTCTCTGTGAGCCTCATGTAAGACAGTAACATGGATGCCTATAATAATCCACCAAATTCACGGCTGGTGGCTCACGCCTGTCATCCCAGCACTTTGGGAGGTGGAGGCGAGAGGATTGCCTGAGCCCAGGGGTTCGAGACCAGCCTGGGCAACTTGGCGAGACCTCATCTCTGCGATTAATCAAATAATTAGCCAGGTGTAGTGGCCTGCGCTTATGGTTTCAGCTACTTGGAAGGCTGAGGCAGCAGGATCACCTGAGCCCTAGGTCGAGGCTGCAGTGACCGTGAGCGTGCCACTGTTCTCCAGACTGGGTGACAGTGAGACTCCAGCTCAAAAAAAATATATATCCACCAAATTCTCTCTGTGTGTTTATTGAAGCGATGTGATAATAGCTAATGCCTGTATTGTGTTTACCATGTGGCTAGCATTGATCAGTGCCGTTTACATTCATGAGCTCATCCTCTCAACAACCCTATGAAGTAGGCACTATTAGTATACCCATTTAACAGACGGGAAAACAGAAGCACAGAAAGGTTAGGTTGCTAGCCCAAGGTCACACAGCAAGGAAGTGGCAGAGCTGAATTCAAACCCACACGGGCAGCCTGGCTTCAGAGTCCGTGCTGGTAACAGCTACAGTCTACCGCTGTTGTTGAGAATGACACTGATGCCACTGTTGGACCGAGTCACATTCATCCTGCATACCTTGATTGGCCAGAACTCACTCACCCAGAGGACCGATAAAGTTCCTAGTGAGAAGCGAGGTTGTTGTTTTTTTGTTTTTGTTTTTTTTAGTTGGAGTCCCACTCTGTTGCCCGGGCTGGAGTGCAGTGGCATGCTCACGGCCACCACAGCCTCTACCTTCTGGACTCAGGCGATCCTTCTCACCCAGGCATGGTGGCTCGTGTCTGTCATCCTAGCACTTTGGGAAGCTGAAGTGAGAGGATTGCCTGAGCCCAGCAGTTCAAGACCAGCCTGGGCAACTTGGCAAGACCTGTCTCTACAATAAATCAAAAACCTAGCCAGCCGTGGGTGGCACACACCTGTAGTTCCAGCTACTTGGAAGGCTGAGGAAGAAGGATCACCTAAGCCCAACAGGTTGGGGCTGCAGTGGCCATGAGCATGCCACTGTGCTCCAGCCTGGGCGACAGTGAGGTTCCGACTCAAAAAATAAAAAAATAAAAAATAAAGGACCTCTGGGACCCTGCATACCTGTGAACGAGAGCAGGTGGTGGGCTGTCTCAGGTCCCTAGAAGGTCTGAGAAAGCTTCTGCGCTGGGGACCTCTCCCACATCAGAACAGCAAGGTCTTTTATTATTATTATTTTTAAAAATTATTTTTAGTTTGCAGAGGTGCGTTTTGCTATGTTGCCCAAGCTGGTCTCGGACTCCTAAACTTAAGCAGTCCTCCCACCTCGGCCTCCCAAAGTGCTGGGATTGCAGGCGTGAGCCACCGCACCCTGTCACAGATCTGGAAAGATCTTAAGTGTGTGTCATCCTCGCAGGGACGGGACATCCTGGACCGGAGTTCCGAGCTGATCCACTCCGGGGAGCTGACCAAAGTCACCCGGCAGGGCAGGAGCCAGCAGCGGACGTTCTTCCTGTTTGACCACCAGCTGGTGTCCTGCAAGAAGGACTTGCTGCGCAGGGACATGCTGTACTACAAGGGCCGGATGGACATGGACGACATGGAGCTGGCGGACCTGGAGGACGGGCGCGACAAGGACTGGGGTCTGGTGGTGAGGAACGCCTTTAAGCTCGTCAGCAGGACCACGGGCGAGGCGCACCTGTTCTGCGCCAAGAAGCAGGAGGACAAGGCGCGGTGGCTGCAGGCCTGTGCGGACGAGAGGAGGCGGGTGCAGGAGGACCAGGAGATGGGTGAGCCCCCCAGCCCGTGGGGTCCTGTCGTCACGGCCCGCTGGCCTCGCACGCCAGGCCCGTGAGCCTGTCGGACCCAGCCCCCTCCCTCAGCGAAAGCCCGCTGTGAGGGAAAAGGCCTTTCCCCTTTGCAAATCCTAAAGACTTCCAAGCTAGCCCACGAGGCAGACTGCTGCAGATGTCGTCACCACAGGCAACGTCTAGTCAATACGTACCCCCGTTTTAGCTGGGTGCAGAGGCTCACGCCTGTCATCCCAGCAGTTTGGGAGGCCAAGGCAGGAGGATGGCTTGAACCCAGGAGTTCAAGCCCAGCCTGGGCAACATAGTGAGACCTCGTCTCTACAAAAAAAAAAAAAAAAAGAAAAAAAAAACCCCAAAAGCCAGATGCAGTCTGAGCTATTTGGGAGGCTGAAAATCTTGAGGCCAGGAGGTCAAGACTGCAATGAGCCCGGAGCGCACCACTACACCTCAGCCTGGGCGACAGTGAGACCTTGGCTCAAAATAAATAAATAAATATATGGTACATGCCTGTCATCCCAGCTACTTGGGAGGCTGAGACAGGAGATTGGCTTGAGCCCAGGAATGCAAGGCTGCAGCAAGCTATGATTGCACCACTGCATTCTAGCCTGGGTGCCCAAGTGAGACCCTATTTCTAAATGAATTTTTTAAAAAAATGTTCCCATGCCAGATCTTGTGTGGCACATTTATGGAGATTGTCTCCTTGAATTCCTGTGAGGTGAGTACTATTACATCCATTTTACAGATGAGAAAATTGAGGCTTGCAGAACTGGCCCCTCTTGAAACCTGACCAGGTAGTATTCACAACCCACTCGGTGTGGCCCCAAGGCCTGAGCCCCCGTGGTGATGCTTGCCCAGGCCAGCAGTGGTGTCCAGTGACTCTGAAGCCCCCTTAGCAGTGGCTAGGAGCACTTTTGAGAGGGCTCACTGCCTCGGCCGTCTCTCTGCCAGCCACCTGGCCCAGGCCTGGGTACTGCCCATCTGTCACCCCTGAACCGAGGGGCCCCGTGTTTCATGTGGGAGTTAAGGCAGCACCCCTTCCTGTTTTCATCACACTTTTTTTTATTTAAGAACCTTCAGTGTTTCTCAGGGGCTTGATGGTCTGAAAAGCAACACAGTCGGGGGAGGACCCCAATGGTACACCCTGCTAGTTTTGTTGCTCAGAATCCTTGAATCTCTCTTTTTTTTTTTTTTTTTTTGAGTTGGAGTCTCACTGTTGCCCAGGCTGGAGTGCAGTGGCATGCTCATGGTCACTGCAGCCTCCACCTGCTGGGCTCAGGCGATCCTTCTGCCTCAGCCTTCCAAGTAGCTGGAACTACAGGCACGCACCACCACACCATTTTTGATTTGTTGTGGAGACGAGGTCTCACCAAGTTACCCAGGCTGGTCTCGAATCCCTGGGCTCAGACAGTCCTCTCGCCTCCACCTCCCAAAGTGCTGGGATGACAGGCATGAGCCACCGGCTGGGCTGAATCCTTTTTTTAAAAATGCCTTTATTTTTTTGTAGAGGTGGGATCTTGCTATGTTGTCCAGACTCATCTCTAACTCCTGGGCTCAAGTAATCCTCCCTCTCGACCTCCCAAGGCTCTGGGATCACAGGCCCACCATTCCCAGCCCAGTTTCACACTTGGCCTCATTGGTTTGTCTTCCCTGCTTCTGCAGACGCCAGGGTCCCACCTGACCCCATGAGGCTGAGACTGCCAGGCCTTAACGATGGCAGTGCCTCAGTTCAGCCCCAGTTTCGGAGCCTCCCAGGCTCCCTAGGGGTCCCAGCACAGACTGCTGGCTGCAAGTCAGGGCGCCGCAGGCCCCGAGACCCGTCAGCATGGATGGAGTTGAAGGCCGCTTGCCTTCACAGCCCCAGCGTGCCCACCTTGAGAAGCGTGTGGTCCTGGGTGGAGGAGCCAGGGGTCTCTCCCTGTCCCCACCCACTGCCCCTGGGAACATGGGGCAGAAACCAGGAGGTGCTTTGTGGGTCCTTTCTGGCTGCTGGCTCTGAGCATGGCCACGGATTCTGGTCTTGCCCACAGGCGGTTTTGTGGGGTCCTGTGTTAGAGTCAGAAGCTGTCAGAAGTAGGAATCTCCTCGGAGACACTCCAACAGGTGGACGTTGGCCTGAACTTGGACCATGCTAACGACAGCACCTGACACTGTTTGTCGGGTGGCATGTTCTGGAGACCCAGAGGAATCTGGTTCCCAGAAACAGCCACACAGGGCTGGGACTGACTCTAGTTCCCTGGAATGAGGCTCTTCCCACCGCCGTGCCCAGAATCCTCCCGGTGGCTGCACATGGCGGTTACTCAAACGCAGCCTGACAGACCACAGAACCCTCATTTTGCCCGTCATGCTGTCTAATGCAGGCCCTGAAATCGTTTGTAGTTTGGCATGTGTGGATTTTTCCTGAGAGGGCACTGATTGTTTACAGAGAGCATCGTTTTTTAGAGATGGGGTCTCGCTATGTTGCACAGGCTGGTCTCTAACTCCTGGTCTCAAATGATCTTCCCACCCTGGCCTCCCAAAATGCTGGGATCGCAGGCATGAACCACCGTGCCCACCTTCAGGGGCGTCCTAGACCCTTTTTTTTTTTTTGAGTTGGAGTCTCACTCTGTCGCCCAGGCTGGAGTGCAGTGGCACATTCATGACCACTCCAGCGTTGACCTGCTGGACTCAGGTGATTCTTCCACCTCAGCCTTCCAAGTAGCCAGAACTCCAGACACATGCTACCACACCCGGCTAATTTTTTGATTTATTGTAGAGATGAGGTCTCGCCAAGTCGCCTAGGCTGTTCTCGAACACGTGGGTTCAGGCAATCCCCTCACCTTGGCCTCCCAAAGTGACCCTTTCCAACTCTGTCCCCGATACACAGGAGAGGAAGGGCCCGACTCCCTGCTGTGCGTTGCCTCTCCATGGCTGGCACTCAGAGGCCATGGGTGTGTGAATGAGGCTGTCCTGAGCCTCTAAGACTGTGAGCTAGGCGAAGGGGGGATGGAACAGGACACAGGCCTGTGCCTGAAATGTTCTGCCAGTCCCAGCGCCAGCTGCATCGTCTGTGGGTCCATGCTGGAGACGGTGCCCTAAGCCAGGCCAGAGAGAGCCAAGCCCCAGGCTGAGCGCTGGAGGGCCTCGGAGGCAGGACAAGCCAAGGGGCCATGCGTGGAACTCAAACCAGACCTCTAGACCATCGGGGACAGATGTCGGACATGCAATGGAGTCGAGGCAGGGAGGGATCCCTGGGGAAGGGTTCTGGCAGTGGGGCAGGGCCTGGGCCAGCCCTGCCGCTGTGGAACAAGGAAGTCTCCCCGGGTTAGGAGGGGGTCTTTGCCCCAGCCTCAGCTTGCCTAGGCCCTGTTTTCCGTCTCTCCCCTCACTTGCCACGGCTTGTCATTGTCACCCATGGCAGGGACAGCATCGACCTGCCATGGGACGTTATGGTGGGGGGATGCTCAGGACACATTGTGTGGCCAGGGCCCACGGTCCGGTCCCCAGACTTCAGGCGCTGCCTTTGGTTTGGTCAGAGCCACGGAGTCATGAAGCCCTCGCGGAATGAGGGTGAGCGGCCCTGGGGCCTTGCTGGGTCCCTCCTCCTCTGGCCTCCGCCCTCAGGGTGCAGGTGGGGTGACCCGTGTGAATGCTGGCCCAGGACACAGATGGTGCCAGGTGTGGCGTGCTTGGAGTGCCAGGTGTGGAGGACGGTCACATGGCCGTGCTGGCGACAACCCCTGCACTGTCCCTGCTTCCAGTCTTCAGCCTCTTGGATTCTCTGAGGGTCGTGGTGTTTTCCTCGAGTTGCGCCCACATGGGCGGCGGGGCGGGCTTCCTTCCCAAGTGCGCTCACCCTTTCTGAATCCGTGTTACGTCTGTCTCTAAACCCAGGAATGGAAATTCCAGAAAACCAGAAGAAACTCGCCATGTTGAACGCTCAGAAGTCAGGACAAGGCAAGTCAAAAGGTAAGCTTTAGAGAAGGCCTCGTCTCCTGAGTGCGTCCTGATGACAGTGGGGGACAGGGCCCAGGTAGTCGGTCAGCCTGTGACCGCGAAAAGGAGCTCAGAGTCAGCGGGTGGGCCCGGAACGGCGAGGCAGCCCAAGAGGCAGATGGGGTCGCCCAGGCTAGGGTGCATTGGTTTTGAACCCGGTTGCTCCAAGGGGACTGTGGGCATAGGGCGTGCCCCCAGAGGTGGTGCCAGAGGGCTGCAGACCCACCCACCTGCTCCCACCCCAGGGGCTGATGGCGTTGACCGCCCAGCCAGGCATGTCCCAGGCAAGTCGAGGACTGCGGCCTCTTTGGGTTCTAAAAGTTTAGTGTATCAGTTCATTCGTGAAAGGGAAAAAAGAAGGAAAGAAAATAAATGAAAGTTTAGGCTGTCACTCCAGCACTTTGGGAGGCTGAGGGCAGGGAGATTGCTTGAGCCAGGGCATTCAAGACCAGCCTGGACAACATGGCAAGACCTTGTGCCACAAAAACATCTAAAATTTAGCCATGAGCCGGGCTCGGTGGCTCAGCCTGTAATCCCAGCACTTTGGGAGGCTGAGGTGAGTGGATTGCCTGAGCCCGTGGGTTCGAGACCCGCCTGGGCAGCGAGACCTCATCTCTACAATAAATCAAAAAATCAGCCGGATGTGGTAGCGCGCACCTGTAATTCCGGCTATTCGGAAGGCTGAGGCGGAAGGATCGCCGGAGCCCAGCAGGCGAGGCTGTGGTGGCCGGGAGCGGCCACTGCACTCCAATCTGGGTGACCGAGTGAGACTCCAACTCAAAAAAAAAAAAAATTTAGCCATGGTGGTGCACATCTGTCATCCCAGCTAGTTGGGAGGCTGAGGCGGGGGATCTCTGGAACTCAGGAGGTGGAGACTGCAGTGAGCCATGATGGTGACACTGTATTTCAGCCTGGGTGACAGCAAGATCCACACCTAAAAAAAAAGAAAGAAAGAAAAGGAAAGTTTAGTGAGTTGAATACAAGCAGACAAGCAGGTGAACACATTCAGAACAGCGAGTCTGCACGTTAGTGGGACCTGGGCAGCTGTTCGGAAACCCCCGTGCCCAGGCTGTGTCCCCAGGGGTCTGGACGCACAAAGATTTTTCTGCAGTGCAGATTGTACAAATGATGTGGCCCACCAGGAATTGGAGAATACGATTTGTATTCCAGAGATGTGCATGGTGGCCTTGGAAACTTTATTCAGACCAACTTTGTCCTCTGACGGGAATTTGCCCTATGACATTTGTCTAGTTGACATTTCTTTACTGAAAAGCAAAAAACAAGGGGCAGTTAACCCCAGGCAGGGCTGTGCCCAAAGAGAGTTCCTTATCAAAGTCACACTGTGTCCCCTGCTTCTTCCACCCAATTGCACAGGTTAGATATAACCCAGTTTTGTTTTGTTTTTTAAGTCGGAGTCTCGCTCTGTCGCCCAGGCTGGAGTGCATGGACATGCTCAAAGTCACTGCTGTCTTGACCTGCTGGGCTCAGGCAATTCTTCCACTTCAGTCTTGTAGCTGAAACTATAGACATGTACCACCACACATAATTTTTCTGGACTTATTGTAGAGACGAGGTCTTGCAAACTTGCCCAGGCTGGTCTGGAACCCCTGGAATCAGGCAATCCTTTCGCCTCCACCTCCCAAAGTGCTGGGATTCCAGACACCATACCTGTCTCACTTTACGTCTATTAACTCTTAGTTTTCCTAGCAACTTAGTAGGTGCTGTGATCCCCATGTTTAAGATGAGGAAACTGAGGCACAGGGAAGCCAAATAACTTCAGAGCTAGAGAGCAGCAGAGGGTTTGGGCCAAGGCAGCATGACTGCAGGCTTCTGTGGGAAGCATTTTATTTTATTTTTTTTGAGTTGGAGTCTCACTCTGTCGCCCAGACTGGAGTGCAGTGGCTGCTCCTGGCCACCGCAGCCTCCACCTGCTGGGCTCCGGTGATCCTTCCACCTCAGCCTTCCGAGTGGCTGGAACTACAGGCGCGCACTACCACGCCCGGCTAGTTTTTTTGATCTATTGTAGAGATGAGGTCTCGCCAAGTTGCCCAGGCAGGTCTCGAACCCGCGGGCTCAGGCACTCCACTCACCTCAGCCTCCCAGAGCGCGGGATTACAGGCTGAGCCACTGAGCCCGGCTGGGAAGCATTTTATTGTCATCCCAAGTGTGCGTCCAGTTCTGATTCTGCCACTCACCGCTGCGCACCTGGGGGGACTGACACAACCTCTCTGGTTTTCACTTTTCTTCCCTGTCAAATTGGCGTAACGCACCCTGCTTGGGGCTTTGGGAAGATTCAGTGAGGTGACTGTGTCAAGATCCACCCACAGTGTCTGGATACGAGTGTTTCTTACGTGGCTGCTGGATAGTCTGGGTTTTTTTGTTTGTTTGTTTGGTTTTTGAGTTGGAGTCTCACTCCATCACCCAGACTGGAGTTCAGTGGCACGCTCCTAGCCACCGCAGCATTGACCTGCTGGGCTCCGGCGATCCTT